GGCATCATCATCCTCGCTGTGCAAGGGGAAGAGCTCAGGCCTAAAGAGACGACGAGTCTCCTCCCAGGCTCACAGAGGAGGGGGGTAAAACTAGGTACTCAAGCCGAGGTTCAGTTCTGGCCCATTGCTCTTTCTCTGTGTGCAATCGTGAAGAGCTTTGGTGAAGATATGTGTGGCTGACACTTCACACCCTGATTGCCCTTAACTACTAGGATAGACTTCACAGGGAAGGACATTCATTCCAGGGCCTACGGTCCCACAAAAGATCATGTTACTAGGGCCCCTCATACCCTACATCCTCTCCACACAAACTCAACATTTCAGGCCAAGCTTCTGGCATTGGTCAGAACTATTGGCTTTTCTCAGCCAAGGACTATCCTTTCTGCTGGGTATTATACCCAAGGTACTTGTGCCTCTTTTTCCTCTGGCTCTTAGACATCCTGTGTGTTGGTTGCTCACATTGTCTTCCAAGGTCCTCCATGCCTATGAGATCTTTGGTCTGAAGAGGGCAGTGTGGTATGTGCCCGTCAGCAGGTTCGCGAGCTGCCTCCCACTTCACTCTATTACTCTGATCTCTTTCTGGATTTCCTCTTTAAATGGATATAATCCACATTGTCTCTTGTTTTTTCTCCTCTGCCCCATAGCCATTTCTCACATCGCACCTTCCAAAAACCTCTTTCTATTCTTGAAAACATACCCCTGGGGAAACCATGGGTCTGATGCATGGCCATTGCCAACCCCCTTCCTTGTGGGCTCTCAAGCAGCAAGACTCAACTAGAAAAGTAACTAATTACCGGAAAGAGATTCTTAAGGGGCGTTAGAATTCTAATGAGATCAATTCCTTTGAGTCTTGCCTACGAATCACCTACAAAGCAGAGCACAAATGGACCTTTGAAAATTGGGAGCTAGGGCTTGGAGATGGTCCAGTGGGTAGTTGTACAAGCATGAGGACCCAAGTTCAAATCCCTGTGAACTCCCCTCAAAAGTTGGGCTTGATCATATATGCCTGTAATGATGGAGGCAGTGACAGGAGGGTCACACTAGCTGTCAGCCTAGCTCCAGGTTCAGTGAGAGACCCTGCCTCAAGAGAATACAGGGAAGAGCAATAGAGCAGGACACCTGATGTCCTCCTCTGGCTTCTGTACATAGATGGGTATGTGTGTGGACACACACACACACACACACACACACACACACATACACACACACACACACAGAGAGAGAGAGAGAGAGAGAGAGAGAGAGAGAGAGAGAGAGAGAGAGAGAGAGAGAGAGAGAACACTAGATGCTAGTCAGAAAGGGCTCCATCCCTTCACCCTGTGGTTGAGAACCATGAACTGGGATTGAAATGGTCCAATTGGACTATGAGGCAAGCGACAGGTTGCGAGAGAAGTGGTGATGGGTGAGGGAAGGATATTTTATCGACTTGTCCAATTACACAGCATTATGCACGTCTGAGAGCTCCAGGAGGGGCAAGAACATGTCGTAACCATACCCACCATGATCCTGTCCCTAGGACTATGCTAGACACACAGTGGATAGTCAGCAAATGTCACTGCTCATAACATCATATGTGTGATCTTAAAACTGTATTAAATACATTAATATGTTTATAAATAAATATAGCACATGTTAAATACAAATTATATATTTCCAAATGTCACCTTACACCTTTAAAATACCTCATCTCTTTACTTCTGTCTATTTATTGTTTACTTTTTGGGTCCGAATTGGGGCTGATTGGCCTGAATTATCCACAAACAGGGAATCCTTACCAGCTGTGATTCTTCTCTTTCAATTTGGTTGTGTTCTTAGCATAGAAAAGACGCCTAGGGAGTGTATTTTGAACTAAATTGAACCACATAAAGAAAGGCAGGTTTGAGGGTCCATGGAGAGCTCAGTCTCTCTTAGAAGGATTGAAACATGCAAACAAAACATTCCAATTCGTAAGTCAAGAAAGCATTTAAATCTACTGCTAGCCTGAGTGAGATCCTGGGAACCTTTAAGCCTGGGCTCTCATTTCCCTTATTAGCTCAAGAGGCAAGTTTTCTCCAGCTGGTCGACATTTTGAAAGCACTGCAAGGGAGGCTAGGCTGACAAGGGGTGCCAGCCTTGTGCTTACTCACCAGCCAGTCTGCCCAAGGTCTCCATCCTGAATTGTTCCACATCACCTTCTGCAGGGCAGTCAGCAGGGAAACCAGATACCTCCAGGAGTAGGTTGCAGATGACAGAAGTAACCTGTCCTTCCCGCATCTTCAGTGTGACTGATGTTTGTCCAACACCTGGAACCAGTGCATGTCTGACTGTCCCCATTCCTTTCTCCTTTCGTCTTCCAATATTCCGTACTGCTGCTCTTGGAGTTTGCATCACCTAATGCAAACAACAGTGTATTTCAGCTACAAACAAATCTGAGACTTGGATGATGGAGACGATGCTCTGCTCTGGATGCTCTGGGTCGAGGTTGATCTTTCAGAGACCTCAGAAGCCATGGTCCTGTGTCTGCAGGTCTTGTAGGGCCCCAAGCAGGGTAGGCTGTTTTTCTGACCATCGGTTTCCTATGTGTTGGTTACTTTTCAGCTTTGTACTCTGCAGGTTAGCCCATTTGAAAGTGGGCTAGCTCTGTCTGATTCATGAGGCTCTGCACAGATCCGGGGTTCCTGTCCATGTTTCCCCCTTGATGCTTTCTTCTGAATGTTCTTGTCTTTCTTGTTGGACATCTTCCTCCTCGTCTCCATCTGGCTCCATTTCTTTGATCTCTCTGTATTGGTGGGATTCTACTACTGCCCTCCTGGATGACCAAATCGGCAAATCTTCTCCTGTATAAACACCTAACCGTTCTTCTTTGGTTAAGGCCTCTAGGGGGCTACACTGGGCAGCCCATAGGTAAGAGCAAAGGGTTGGTGGAAGCTGCAGGCATTCCGTCTGTGCTCAGGGCCAGGCTTCCCTGGATGGGGAGGAAGGCAGGTTGGGGAAGCAGCTCTTTTTCTGGAGAGCCTGTGCTTTGGAGCATGCTGAAAACCTTGGGGAGTCAGGTTCTTCTGGTCTTTACCCATGGGTTGTCATCTTTGCATGCAGTCACCTTGCCAACCATTCCAGTCCCAGATGGAAGGTGACAGAAGCTCCTGGCCAGTGCTGGCCCGGTCTCCTTCTGCTGGAAAGTCTGGGTGGTACCCGTCTCTAGACCCGCCTATTTCTCCCACTTTAATAGTCTTGGGAAAAAAAAAAAACAAAGAAAATTTGATGTTATTACAAGTCCAAGGCTGCTTTGTAGTACTCTGGGCCTTTAAAAATCTGAATGTTTTTATAATAAGCGGGGATAATGGTCTTGGAGAGTGCAGACACTGGACCTTTTATCGGTGACTCCAGCCACATGAAGACTACCACGAAAGCTCACAGAGAGCAGGACTCCAATAAGTTGACAGTAAAGCAGAAGCTCTGGCTGCCAGCCAAAGCCACAGGAGCTTGGGGTGATGCTCTGGAGATGCAGGCAGTATCTGGTAGTGTCTATAATTACATAACTTTTATACTCCTAATTTGGGCCATCTCATCCTCAGAACTCTGACCCTGTTCACTGCCATGCCACCCATTTCTAGCTTGCCTCCATTGCCCCCGCCCAGGCCCTCCACCCCTGGTCAAATCCTGTGCTTATAGGTGGTACCTTAGTGTTTTCCTCCTTAGCATCTAGGCCCTTGGCTTCAATGATATAACATAGCCTTCCTTTCATACTTTTGAACCCTTGGTCCTTAGAACATCTGTATGCACATCAGTAGGGCTGGAGCTTGGATATCCAGAACAGAACATTGTATATACATACTTTGAACTTAGAGAATTGGGCAGAATGTTAGAAAGTTTAACTGGAAATTTAGAAGTGATTTTTAATGTTAAAGCTGACATGGCTATGTTATATACTATAGAGCCAATTTGCTCAAGTTTAAGATAAAGTGATTTCTTGCCTGGGGAGATCCTTTTGGGCTATCTCTTTACCTTGCTGGGGATTGACTCCAGGACACTGCATATAGTAGGCAGTGCTCTACCTACCACAGACCTGTATTCCTAACCTCTTTGGGTTATCTCTTTACTTTCCTAATGAGCCCATTCGTTCTGTTTTGATTGATGTCCCATGTAAAAGTTTGATTAACACGTCCTTATTCCCACGTTTCTTTTCCTAGACAGTTTAAATGAATTTACACTGACCCATCAGCTAATATTTTTCAGACCTCTTTCAAAACGGTCTCTCCTTCCAGAAACTTCTCTGTTCTCAAGGTGATTATTAAAATCTCTACCATTCTCTTAAGTGATAACAGAGGGCATTACAGGGCCCTGTAAACCACAAAGAGCTCTCCAACCTTCCTAGTCAGGGCTCAGATCAGCCCAAATCACCACCACAGTCATCCATGCTTGGCCTGGAATACGGCAGCATTCAGAGATGTCTCTCATCACAAGGAACAAGAGTTGATGCCTGTGAGTGAACGTAATGTCTTTAAGCAATCTCAATCTCTCTGTCTCTCTGTCTCTCTGTCTCTCTGTCTCTCTGTCTCTCTCTCTCTCTCTCTCTCTCTCTCTCTCTCTCTCTCTCTGCCAGGTTAGCTAGGACAGGAGGTTGATTATGGGTCTTCAGGATCTTGTCATACAGAAGAATGTCACTGGGATGGACCAACACCCAGCTGACCAGGGCTGGACCATGTGGCTTCTTTGAATGTATACCGCAGAACTCTGATTTCATGGGTGTAATGGCAGAAGAAGAGTCCTGACTTAGCAAGAAGCTCAAGTAAAGAATTTTATGGGACCAGGGACTCCTCTGAGGGAGGCAAATGACAGACTGATGGAGAGGGCGTCTGAACACCAGTGAAGAAGTACAAAGAAGAAACATTTTACATACTGTGTCCACACCCTCTCTAGAATGGTTATAAATTCTCACCAGAGGAAGGAGACCTAGAGCTCTGAGGCTTGGAGAATCTACTCTTGTGTCTTCAGCCAGGCACCTCACTCCCTCCAGCACCATGCCATACAACTGCTGCCTGCCCACCATGAGCTGCCGCACCAGCTGCTCTTCCCGGCCCTGTGTGCCCAACAGCTGCCATGGCTGCACCCTGCCCGGGGCCTGCAACATCCCCGCCAATGTGGGCAACTGCAATTGGTTCTGTGAGGGCTCCTTCAATGGCAATGAGAAGGAGACCATGCAGTTCCTGAATGACCGCCTGGCCAGCTACCTGGAGAAGGTGAGGCAGCTGGAGAGAGAGAATGCAGAGCTGGAGTGTCGGATCCAGGAGAGGAACCAGCAGCAGGACCCTCTGGTGTGCCCTGCCTACCAGGCCTACTTCAGGACCATTGAGGAGCTGCAGCAGAAGGTGAGGGGCCATGCTGTCATGTCTAAGTGATGATAACTTGCTATGGTTCTCAGCCTGAGGTAGAGAAGTGTTTCTTGTTTCTATCTCACAATGATCCTTGCTTTCCCATTTTCCCTTCAAAATAACCCTGTTAAAGAAGTTGATGGTTTTGTATTTATTTCTCATGCTCACTAATTCATGCGGTCTCTCCTTCCCCAGATCCTGTGCAGCAAGTCTGAGAATGCCAGGTTGGTGGTGCAGATAGATAATGCCAAGCTGGCTGCAGATGACTTCAGGACTAAGTGAGTTGTTTGGCATTCACACCAGCATCCTTTTCTTTGGCTTAACCTCCAGTTAAGGAAAGAGATTTCCATAGCTTTTCCAAACAGCAGACAATCTGTTAGTTGTGAATGATTCTGCAAAAGATGTTGGGGGCAGAACCAAGCAAAAGGAATCACAAAAACAGAAAAGTACAAGGTTGGGTTTTGATGGAGCATCCAGAACTCTCTGTCCCCTGGGTCTATTCACTGCAGGAAGTAGGAAGGCAAGGCAAACAGCGTCTAGCAAGGATTATTGTTCGGAGTCTGGAAGACCCACCAGCTGCTGCTCTGACCCTGTCCTTTTTCAGGTATGAGACAGAGCTGTCACTGCGGCAGCTGGTGGAGTCGGATATCAACGGCCTGCGCAGGATCCTGGACGAGCTGACCCTGTGCAAGTCTGACCTGGAGGCACAGGTGGAGTCTCTGAAGGAGGAGCTGCTGTGTCTCAAGAGGAACCATGAGGAGGTGAGACCAGATGAAGAGCCTAACTCAGCCTCAGGCTTTGGGGTTGGGAGAAGCAGAGCTAAGGGTATAAATATGAATCTCAGGATGTTTTTATGAATCCTCTTCAAAGCCGCCAAGACCCAATGTGAGAAAACTGTAGATGAACTTGCCCATGTTCTCAGACAGGATATGCCTCACATTAAAAACCCATGTATGGTTTCCCAGACATCTCCATTTGCTGGCAATTGGCCACCGAGCTGTAGAGTTCCAGACTTGCTATATTGGTGATCTGATTGTTCTCTTGCTAAGATGAATAAGTCAAGGTAGACGAATGTTGCCTGCACTCTTCTGAAGTCTTGGTGAGGAATGAGTGGCTTCTCCTGGGAGGTGCTTTGACACGATTTTGCTTCTTTTTTGGTAGCAAGAAGATTTGACATACAATCTGAATCGGTCCAGCCATCTTTTTGCATTCAAGGGTCTCACAATTTCCAATCTGGGAAACTTGTCTGTCAACCTGTTCTTCAGCAGCAGCTCATCAAACCCTTGGGATTTCCCTGAAGCCAGTGTCATGGCAGGGTACTGGTGAAGAGGGAGCTGAGCTCATGGAGATTGTTAGCCTTGAGCTGATATAATTGACTGCTTCACTCCAAGGTTCTTTCCGGAGGAAATAGACTTAGGAGGCCTTCCACAGGCAGGGTTATTTCTGAGACTCATTGACGGGAAGTAACTGTGAATTTATACATCTGTAGGAAGTCAACACCCTGCGCTGCCAGCTTGGAGACCGCCTCAACGTGGAGGTGGACGCTGCTCCCACCGTGGACCTGAACCGTGTGCTCAATGAGACCAGGTGTCAGTACGAGGCCCTGGTGGAAACCAACCGCAGAGAAGTGGAGGAGTGGTTCACCACACAGGTGGGCAACTGAGCTCATGGCCACCCAGGAACTGAGTCCCCCAGGACCTGAAGCAGGGTCTGATCCTGTCTCTGCCCTTGCCTGTTGCAGACCGAGGAGCTGAACAAGCAGGTGGTGTCCAGCTCAGAGCAGCTGCAGTCCTGCCAGGCAGAGATCATCGAGCTGAGACGCACAGTCAACGCCCTGGAGATCGAGCTGCAGGCCCAGCACAACCTGGTGTGTAGTGTCCACACCTGCTGCTGGGCAGTGTGGAGTCAGGGGGCGGAGTCACTGGGGTGCCCTTGGGGCCACTCCCTCTCCTTAGCTCTTGAAGCCTGTGACTCCTTTGGGAGGCCATGCAGGAACCTTTAGAGGGGACAGCTCTGTGACAGCCTTTGTCTCCTCCCCCACAGAGAAACTCTCTGGAAAACACACTGACAGAGAGCGAGGCTCGCTACAGCTCCCAGCTGTCCCAGGTGCAGTGTCTGATCACCAACGTGGAGTCCCAGCTTGGTGAGATCCGGGCTGACCTGGAGCGTCAGAACCAGGAGTACCAGGTGCTGCTGGACATCCGGGCCCGGCTGGAGTGTGAGATCAACACGTACCGGGGCCTGCTGGAGAGCGAGGACTGCAAGTGAGTGCATAGAAGGAAGGTTTTGATAGGAGCTCCTGAGGGAGTATAGGACTCAATTGAAGCCCTCAGAGATTGTCTACCTTGGGGAAAAAAAAAAATCACACCTTTCCACCTGACATGCTCGAACAGAACTCCCCAAACACTATGGCCGTCATCAAAAACATCAAGTGGTTTGTTAGCACAGTTGTTTGTGTACGAACTGAGACTGCACAGCTGTCTTTGTATTCTACTGTGATAACTTGCAGGGTCATGTGAGCTGTCTTTTTACAATACTTCATTGTATAGACAACTTAAGATAGACACTATCTTATCTGGTTGTGTAATTACCCCTCAGGTAGGTTGGTGCAGTGTTCTTCCAGTTCTCTTTGTAAGGAAGCTGGGGCTTGGAGAAGGCAGTAACCCTCTCAAGGTCAACAGCTACGAGTGTATAGATTTGGGGTGTCTGTGTAGTACTTGTGGCTCTCTGTAATAGGGAGAGTTTTAGTGATTTAAAGATTTTTTTCTAGTAGAGGGGAACTGAGTATTCTCAGGCCAGGACAAGTCCTGACAGGACTTCTACTCTTGGGGACTCTCTAATATGTGGTTATATATCTGCCTCACCCCACCTTTCTGTTCTATTTTTTGTTTCTAGGCTACCCTGCAATCCGTGTGCCACAAGTAATGCATGCAGCAAGCCCATCGGGCCCTGTGTCTCCAATCCCTGCACGCCGTGCCCACCCCCTGCCCCTTGCACACCTTGTGTCCCACGGCCCCGCTGTGGGCCATGCAACTCCTTTGTGCGCTAGAACCTGAGAGATGCCAAAGGGGACAGGACACAGGGCTTAGTGCTCCAGATCTCTGACCCGGTTCTGGTTCATGCCACAAAACAGGCATAAAAACACAAAATGAGTAGCCAGCCCAGCCCTGGGATGACAGCCCCAGAAACTGTGCCGTCAGCTACCGTACCCTTCTCCAGACCATGCTCTGTCTGCCTTTTCCTTCAGAAGGACCTGATTCTCCCTTGGCTTGCCCAGAGGACTCTGAAGTGCGAGTGGCCCTCCCTTGTAATCTCACAATAAACGTTTTCCTGTCCAAAGCAGATACTCTTCTTATTGCTGTTCATTTGTTACCATCCACTCACCGCTTGAGGACTCTATAAAAAAAGCCACTTGAAAGTCAGGCTTTACAATGGCTTGAGTCTCGATGGGCAGATGGCTCACCTGGACCAATGGGTGAGGCAGAGCTGCTGTCAGGAGGGAGGGTGAGGCTGCTGCCACGCTGGGCTACTGTTTCCCTTTCATCATTTCTATATTTCTCTCATGACGTGGATTCTCTCAGAGCTGTTGATATCCAAGTCTGAAATTGAAGCCATGAGCTAGGGATTGCAAAAAGGCTCTGGAAAAGTCATTTTTTTCCTCTGTGAGATCCTTGGATCTGGTGCTCTATGATGCTGGGTAATTGTGGCCCACGTGACCTCAGGGGTACCCTGTGAAGGACCCCCTTGGCTTTCCCCGCCTTACTCAGGATGTCTTCCTCTTTTTTATGTGTGTTTTCTTGACTTGCCTGGGCTTCCAGTCACTGACTGAGGAGATCCATCAGTTCATCCATGGGACATCTTTTCTTATGTCAATCTAACCAGTTCCTACTCCATAGATGCCAGGTGGTACAGCAGGAAGAGACACTTAAGGGCAGCTCCCAACCAAAAGTCAATCACAATTTGTTAAGAGGCATAAAGTTAGACCCCAACAAGTGCTATTGCCCTAAGACACAGAACCTTGGCACCTGAACCACCGAGTTGGCGCTGGAAATAAATATCTAACTATTGAAAGAGACAAGCTCTGGAGACCGAGGACAGCAGTATTTATCAAGAAAGGGCAACTTCCTTTAACTGGAAGAAAAATCCACAGAAATGATAAGCGTCGACATCATAAAACCCCAGAGGATCCTACTCTTTTGAACCACAGTCTTGTGAAGGGACATGACCAAGACAATGTGTCTTTGCCACAGTGTCGGCACCATTTACAATTCTCACCAGAAGAGCACAAGGTTCCAATTTCTCAGATGCTTGCCAACACTTCCTATTTTCTGTTTGTTTTAAGTGTAGTCATCAGAATGGGTGTGAAGTGGGACCTTACTGTGGTTTCCATTTGCATGTTCCTCATGACTAAGGACATTGGACATTTTTTTTTTCTTTTTTGGTTTTTCAAGACAGGGTTTCTCTGTGTAGCTTTGCGCCTTTCCTGGAACTCACTAGGTAGTCCAGGCTGGCCTCGAACTCACAGAGATCCGCCTGGCTCTGCCTCCCGAGTGCTGGGATTAAAGGCGTGCGCCACCACCGCCCGGTTGGACATTTTTAATAATGGCCATTTATGTATCTTCTTTGGAGAATCGTCAGTTGAAGTCTCTTATCCGTTTTTAAGATGGTTTCTCTTGGTTTTTTTTTTTTTTTTTTTTTTTTTTTTTTTGGTTATAGGAGTTCATAATAAATTCTGGACCTTATTTCCCACCAGACATATGGTCTGTAGATATTTTCCCCCAGTTTGAGAACTCCTTGGTTTAATTCACCTCACTTTCTGGTGCTTGGACCCTGAGCTCAGGGCCTTACACACGTTAAGCAAGTACTGCATCACCAAGTTATATTTCTAGACCATGTTTCTTTTCTTGACATAGTTCTTCATTTATTTTTAAAATTTAACTTATTTTATGTGTGAGAGTGTTGCCTGCATATATGTAAGTGTATCGTGTGTGTGTGTGTGTATGTGTGTGTGTGTGTGTGTGTGTGTGTGTTTTTTTTTGTGTGTGTGTGTGCCATGCCCATAGAGGCCAGAAGAAGGCATTGGATTCCTTGGAACTGGAATTGCAGAGGGCTCTGAGCTGCCATGTAGGTACTGGGAACTGAACCTGGGTCTTCTGTAAGAGCAGTTAGCACTCTTTACTGCTGAGGCTTCTCTTGAGCCCCTTGATTGAGTTTCTGATGCACAAGAATCTTATTTTGGAGGAAGTTTATTCAGTTTTTCTTTTGGCTGCCTGAGCTTTTGGTGTCAAACCCAGATTCACACAGATTTTCATCTACAGGTTTTATAGTTCTAGTTCTGATGCTTGAGACTCTGGTCCTCTAAGAAATCTTAAAAAATTAAATGTATTTACATATTTTGTGTATATGTGTGTGTAAGAGAGTGGTCCTGTGCCACACATGTACGCAGAAGTCAGAGGACAATCTACAGGCGTTGATTCTCTCCTTCCACCATGTGAGTCCCTGGGATTGAACTCATGGTGCCGGGTTTGGCATCACGTGTCTTTACCCATCGAGTCTTCTCACCGGCCCCTTTGGGATTTTCCGTGGTTGGTATGTAGAAATGCTTCCTGATCTCTTGATTTTAGCGAAGCATAAAACCCTGATTTGAGACCAGTTTTGGACTTCTAACTTGCGGGATTTTAAGGGATAATTCTGAGTTCTTTTAAGTCTTTAACTTTGTGGGAATTCATGACAGCAGCAACAAGAAACCAATATAGCTCTTACCTATAGAGTGTTCACCGTAGTAGGATGTTATCGCAATGAATATTTATAACAGTGTTAGAATTAAACCCATTTTACAAATGAGGACACCGAGGCTTGGAAACTTGCTTAAATTCACATTTGGTTATTAGAACCAGGTTCCACACAAGACTCTACCATACAATACGAAGAATGGAATGTCTACATCCAGGTCAATGACATTCTTCAAAGATGTCCCCATGCACAAGCTCCTCACACAGGTACATTCCAAACTAATTTTTTGTCAGGCCCCTCTAAAGACAGTAATGGCTCATAATTGATATAATTATACAGTTTGTTTGCTTTTGATTATCTAACTTGTCTGCCTTACTCCCAGCTCCTCTTTGAATAGCTTCACAAGAGTCAAGCTGATCCTCAAGCAAACAGGTTTGTTGTTCACAAACTGAGTATTAAAGAAATGCAGCCCTCCCCCAGACAGAGAGCTCTGCCCATGATTTAAGTAGAAATAATGTCTGCAGTGGAGGGGTACTATGGTTATGAACAAAACATATAGGATCCATGAGTCATGATATGTTTTTCAGATACATCTTAATATTGTAAATAAATGTGCTCTATAGTTCCCCAAAACCTTCCAAATGGCTTTTAAAAATGGTTTCCTGGTGTTCCATGGTCATCAATAGACACATGGCAAAACATCAGTTCTTAGTCTTGGGGGTGCTTTGAAAAACTTGGGGGAGCCCTTTTAAAAACTTTTGAGAGGGCTTTCTCCTCCCAAACAGACTGATTTAATCAGCTCAAGAGGCAAAAGTCAGCTTGGCTCCAGGGGACTTGTAGACTCTCGACAGGTGAGACGTTTCCCCTGGCTCTGATGAAGCCCACACACCAGTACCTGTATGCTGGTCAGAACCATCAGCTTGACGTTCTTGTGAATTTCCTGAATTTTGGTTTCCCCAGAGGTAATGAAGGAATAAATAGCTCATCTCCAACTACTTTACACACTTGTCAAGAAAAGCATGGAAAGTGGTGTTCATGGAAACACTGTCAAATGGGAAATTCTATCAGGATTATTAATAATTTTGATTATTATTGACCCAACACATGACTTAGCTTCTTAAGGATAGAAAAGTATAGCTCTGTATGTGTGTGTGTTTATGTGTGTGTGTGTATGTGTGTGTGTGTGTGTGTGTGTGTGTGTGTGTGTGTGTGTGAATTTCCTTCAGTGCCACAGAACCCACCCAATGGCTCCACCCCTTAAAGGTTCCACTATCCACCAAGAGTACAGCTCCACACTTTATACCGACTGTGGCCTATAGTTGGCCAAATCTCCTTTTAGAACAATCCCCATCCATCTGACTGCCTGTCCCATCCATCCATCCATCCATCCATCCATCCATCCATCCATCCATCCATCCATCCAGCTTTCATTTCACATTCTCATTTCCCAAGCAGCATCACACAATTGTTTCTAGTCTGTCTATCTGCACATTTCCCAAGGTGCAGCCAGTATCCAAGTATCAGCTTCCTTGCAGCTAGTCCAGCCTGAGTTTCTTCTACAAGGATGATTCCCCTGAATGCTGAAATGTGTCTAGAGGACAGGCCAGTGGGAAGGATGTTTACCCAAAGTACTTTTGCCATTGTTATATCAGCAGAAACCTCCCAGGAAAGGAATCCCTGATTCCCAAACAACCCCACCTCATGTCCCTGGCTATCCTTCCCTCTGAGTAATGGGGTAAACCTTTCAGGACTGTGATGAATCTGCCTCCTTTGAAGCCATCTGATGAAACTCTGATTTCATCAACCACTTGTACCCAGGAAGAGGCTGCTGTGACACAAGCTGAATGGAATAATTTTATAGGATGAGGGGGGACTCTTTGGAAGCAATCTAAGTAGCATAATTTGAAGAAAAATTAGCTGAAGCATTAGGAAAGGAAATTATGCTATTTTTCAAGCCCCCACCCACTATTAAGGGTATAAAAGGCCCATGAAGGATGGAGAGACTCAAACCTCACCCACATCTACCTCCAGCAGGTCACCACTCTCCTATCACCTCTCCCAACACCATGTCCTGTGAATCTTGCCTGCCTGCCCTGAGCTGCCGCACCAGCTGCTCCTCCCGGCCCTGCGTGCCCAACAGCTGCCATGGCTGCACCCTGCCCGGGGCCTGCAACATCCCCGCCAATGTGGGCAACTGCAATTGGTTCTGTGAGGGCTCCTTCAATGGCAATGAGAAGGAGACCATGCAGTTCCTGAATGACCGTCTGGCCAGCTACCTGGAGAAGGTGAGGCAGCTGGAGAGAGAGAATGCTGAGCTGGAATGTCGGATCCAGGAGAGGAACCAGCAGCAGGACCCTCTGGTGTGCCCTGCTTACCAGGCCTACTTCAGGACCATTGAGGAGCTGCAGCAGAAGGTGAGAGGGTGACCTTTCTTTGGATGGGGAGACATACTCAAGTTCAAGTGGATCTCACATTGGAACCATTGTTTCAGATTCTGTGTGCTAAGTCTGAGAACTCCAGGCTGGTCGTGCAGATCGACAATGCCAAGCTGGC